ATCCTTGTTTACCCATAGCACACAACAATCGAGAGACATTGGAAGAAATAAGAAAAGACAGACGCGGTATATTTCTCAAGACTACTTAACCTTACTGGTGGACAACTTTGCTATAGGAGTATGCTTTCGAAGATATAAATGTATAGGTACCGAGGCTATCCTAGTAGCGGATGCAAACATCTCGACTGCAAGCTCGCAAATTACTATGCGGATTGCCGGTCTCCTATCCATCGAACTTGGCCTATTCCTGTTTACTTTGAGCCTCTTTTCTATAAAAATGGTCAAGCATTAGTATGCAAGTATCAACTCTGCGTGGATGTCGTGTATCCTCCAGCTTGTCGTAACCGCGATTCGGCATTGCACCACCTGATTGTTCAGCTGGCCAAAACTTTTGCCTTCTTGTTGATGCCACAAATAAATTTGGCATCATGGGGTCATTGTGAACACACAATTGGCTTTCTTCTTCTTAAAAAGGCTCGATTGGTCTGTTTCAGAGGTTGTCAGTGAATACCTGAGCCCCTGAAAGGCCTCCTATGGGGCAACATTGGACTAGATATCAGACAAATGCACGAGACACGCGGGAAAATTCGCCAATTACCGAGATATACTGTAACGCAAGCCATTCCATTGCCGGAGCACAGAGTGGAGATGGAGCCTCTGCCCGTGCTATCATATAATGCTTGTGTAAACCGGGATGTGCCTGTCGTGTATCTTGAAGTACGAGAGTCTTCAGTGATAACCGACGTAACAAAACCAGTGGCCGGGACTGGTTTATCTGAGTATACATCTAGGTTACACAATCTCATCGGAAAAGGATCCATATACGGGCCGAGTCTAGCGTACACATCTATGGATATGTCAATAGTAAGTAGTGTTTACTTAAAGTGGGCAGGCAGGACATCACTGGAGAAACATGCTGATGATTACCTGGGTATAGAAATGTCGAGGAAAACTTCACTCTATCAGAAGCTACGAAAGAAAGCCAGCAATTGGGTCAGAACAGTTTATAAAGCGGTCTGTGTGGTATATTCGGTGAAGAAAACAACAATTATCCCGGATTGGTCTTTCATATTAATTCCAACCAAGCAGCTCATTGTGATACAAGTTCTACACTTTAGCTGAACAAGGTAGTAAGTTGTGTAAGATCTTGCCTTTAAAATATAGAATAGAGGAGAAATATATCAATACGTATTGTTGTTGAATAATACCTTATAAGTGGACTAAAGAAAAATAATATCCAAAAACATGAATCGGCGTAGCTAATTCGGCACCGAGCAGGTAGATCAGATAATCAAGTAAAATATGTCTGCTTGATTATGTTGTCGAAGAGTCCCGCTGCTAAGTTAAGCGAATTATGTAACAGGAAGCAAAAGCGAATAATGAATGTTGATTTTGTGTACAGATGCGCTATTCTTATTCACGGAGAATAGCAAAAATAGGGGCTATTCAAGTATGCGTCTTACGACACTAAGTTCCTTGCTAAGGTCGTTTGATAGCCAATTAGGTGGGAGCACAGAAATTCAAACAAACACACATAATTAGGTTAGATAATAGAGAGAGCCAAATAATTCTACAAACAAGCTGCAAATAACTATTACTTCCTACTCTTCCTCACCTACCTAACTTAAGGTCGAACATTCTGTTCTAATTTAGAGCCCTACCTACAGCTTCTATCCCTACCTACCATATTGTACTTGCCTGTGTATATAGTATTTCGGTACTATTATGCTATTATACCTAGGTTGGTTTTAATACGAAGACTCTCCTTCATTGAAGCCCATAACCTGTCACGAAGGCCACGAAGACCACTTATCATTCACAAAACGCACATATCGAAAAACCACGGCGATTGACGGAAAATAACGAATTCAGTATGGCTAGCTAGTCGATCTGAGAGTCTCAGGACTGCCAATAGAAACCAGCGGAAACATGTGCACGGAGAGGATACCCAACCTCCCTCGAAAATTGTACGCCTGTAATGCAACGCAGACCTCGTCATCCCTTATGACAATATCTGCTTCCTGCGCCTGACGAGACACCAGATCCTCGCAGATTCGCGCAGGTCGGAGACCCAACAGCGCGACATTATGAGACTCGTCAACTGATCGTACCGAAAAACTTGACCGAAAAAAACCAGACATAAGAGTACAACCGTAGTGGTATCCGCAGGTAAGGAAATGTCGAGGAAATGCTACACACGTTGACTATTGCGCGCTTATTTTATGTTCATCAGCTTGATGTCAAACACCAATGTGCTGTTGCCAGGGATGCCGGGTTGCGCTTTGCTTCCGTACGCGAGGTGAGCAGGGATAGTCAGTCGGCGTTCGCCACCAATAGCCATGCCTTGGATTCCAATGTCCCAACCCTTAATAACCTCACCCTTTCCGACAGAGAAGCCGAAGGGCTTTCCCTTCTTGTTGGCTATTTTCATGTTAGCAAACATCCATACATCATTCTCCGCAAGCGAAACTTACCATCGAAAACCTTTCCATCCAGAAGCTTGCCGATATATCGGACTTCAACCTTGTTACCCTTCTTTGCGACGCGGCCAGATCCTATCTTGCGGTCGTCAACGGTGACACCCTGAACAACCTTTACGCCGGGGGTAGCGCCCTTCTCGGCGGCAGTCGAACCAGTGGGGCCTTGTTCTAGGTTCTTGGCGAATTGGACTTTCTTATCACCTTTGGTGGAAGCGTCCTTGGTGGGCTCGGCCTTAGCATCCTCCTTAACACCAACAGGCTCACCCTTGTTGTTCTTGAGCTTTTTCTGCTGCTTCTTGCTCAACTTGGCCTCCTCAGCCTTGGCCATCAAGCCATCAAGGCTCTCTGCTTCCTCAGCAAGGCGCTTGTTCTTGCCCTTCTTGCTCTCGGCAGCTACCAGTTTAGGGGCATCCTCTTCGTCGGTGTCTACCTCTGTAACACGAGGGTCCTGGAGATTATCGAGCTCATCTACCTCAGAATCATCCGAGGCATATTCATCGATGCTCCTGCCGTAGTTGTAGTCGTCGTCCTCGTCATCATCCTCGTCTTCCTCGTCTTCCTCGTCAGGATCGACAACGTAGTTACCAGTCAAGTGAATAGTGTGAGTGCCCTTGACAATGAAAAAGACCTCCTCGTCAGGTCCAATGGTGATGTCGAGGGGTTGTTGGTAGTTCTTTGGGTTACGTTAGTAGAGCTACAAAAAAAAGCTTTTCAAGGCAAGACATACGCGTTCAGTATCAAGGGTACAAACGACAAGCTCCTCAAGATCTGGAGTAAAATCGATGCTTTCATCGTCATCGTCGTCGCTGGAAGTAGCGGGCTCCTTCCCCTTCTTGCCCTTCTTGGTGGTCTTAACGACACCATTTGCCTTCGACTTGGGCTTGGCATCGTCGTCTTCCATCTCCTCATCTGAATCTTCATCTTCTTGGACAGCTTGGATGAGTTTTTGCATAGCAGCCTCGCGCCGGGCCTTCTTCGACTTGGAGGGGTCACTAGGGCCACCATTGGCCTCTTCATCCGAATCTTCTTCGTCATCATCTTCATCTGAATCACCACCCATGAACTGTTCTAAGAATTCGTCATCAAGCCCGTCCGTGAGGGAAGGTCGCTTGCGGATGAGCTTAAGCGTAGAACGCGGGACGGCGGGAATATTGCCCTCAGCATCGGCTTCAGGCTCCACGGTGGGGTCAAGAGCAGCCATAGTGATGCGATACTTGAGATTATATATTAGTACTTACAACTTGGGACCGAAATACTAGATATGACGAAGCGGCGGAGAGGGGGGGAGGGGGGGAATTCCGTCGCAACCATTTCGCATAGTACTTACAGCAGCACCGTGGATAAACTCCTCCTGCGTAGCGGGAACCAAGATGCCTTGCGGCGGGACCTCAAGCCCGTAGAGGGCGATAGGCAGTATAGGCATTGTGAATGATAAGTTTGACTTGGGTTGAATAGAAGATGCGATTTGGACTTGAGATAGAATTGAATGCTCAATGAGGAACACTATTGTTTGTGAATGATACCTGCAAAGCGCAAGAGGGAAGACGATGTTTTATGGATAAGAGGAAGAGGGAAAAAAGAAGGCTTCGGACGCGACTCGAGACCGGTTGAAGAGGAAAGTGAAGAAAAAAAAAAGTTCGAGAGCTAACTAAGCTGTCTTTGCTTTCTCCAAAATTTTTTTTCTTCCTCAAGTAAAAAAACTTCCACCGCAGTAAACCACCCCACCTAAAAAAGTCTTACCGCGTTTGGTAGATAAGGTGGGTGCTAGGCGGAAAGAGGCTTATCTGGACGGACCCTTGCAGCCGCTTTGCTCAGAAGGTTTTAGCCACGGGCAACCAGCTCCAGTTGCTACTACGAAGCCTCGGCCTAGCCAATGGTACGGCTGTATTAGGTATGACAATAACAAATGACGATATGCCTTACGATTTATTTGTCGTGAGTCACGGGGGTTATAGGAAGACGGTCGATAAGGATTTTTAATTTAATACAGAATACAGTCAGTAGTTAGGTATTGGTTACCTAGGCTACGACCTGGATAATATGACTGCCTAGGTACCTAGGTACTTAACTCATGAGATTGTATAAGTGGAAGTAAACAACTTTGAAGTTTGATATTGGGAATAGAGGTATGGTATATATCACAAAAGATTAAAGACAAAAATTATGGATTCTGTTTAATAGCATGTCAAGTAAGCAAATATATATCTTAGATAATAACATCTTCAAAATAGGGGTTCAGCCTAGGGGAAAGTCTTCAGGGGAAAGACTATCATGACGTTGCGTCTCAGTCACCATAAAGCCAACGCCTGTTTGGCAATGTCTCAGTGTACGAAAATAGGTTCTCGTTTCCCTCTTGCTTTGCTGTCTAACTCAAGAGTAGAGAGTAGTCCTCGTTCCCTTCACAGTTTTGCCATACTATCCTCAACCCCTTATCCATCTGTCTCTATCAAACACCAGTCACAGGAGCGAGTCTCACTCCCACCCCCTTTAGCCATATCCAACTCTTATGTGATTCCGCTTTCAGTTCTTAGCAGCAAGAAGCGCGTTAGCCTCCGCGGTGATCTTCTTGATCTTGTCTTCGAGGGATTCCTCTATTTGCGCCGGGGCACGCACGTTAGCTACGCCCGGAAGAAAAAAAACAACAACCAGCAAAATGTGGAGCAACAAAGGGTAGACTGACCGTTATTATCATACTCTCGCCCGCGATCAGCCACTTCCATAGTCTCGATGATCATCTCCACGATAGGCCGAGCAAAATGCCGCGGCGTCGCGCGGCAGTACGCCGCTACGAGGTCGTTGCAGTTGGTCACGCCGCCTTTAAATTTAACAAGACACCGCCGCCAAGATTAGTAAAGATTCACATGAATGAATATTCTTAAATAGTACGACCGAAAGAGGAAAGGGAAGAAAAAAAAAAAAACCTACCGCCCGACCACAAATTCCCATCCTGCACCCAGCGATACTTATCCCCAACCAGCTCCTTCTCGCCAAAGCCCCTCTGGCGAATCATATCCTGCAGCGCGCGCGGCCCACACGCCGTCTTCCCCCTGAGCAGGCCGGCCTCGCCGCAGATGAAGATGCCCGTGCAGATGCTCAAGATATCGACGGCGGGGGTAGCCCCCTGCGCGCGCAGCCACTCCAGCGCCGCCGCCTCGGTATGCGCTACCGGATCGGGCCCGGGAACCAACACGATGTCGAGCTTGCCGGGGGCGACCGCCGCGTCGCTGTAGTGGTCCGTAGCTATGATCGATTCGTTGGACGTTAGCTTGATGTGCTCGCCCGCGCGCACGGAGCCGATGTAGTGGATCTCGACGGAGGGGGCTAGGTCGACGACCGAGTCGGGCAGGAGGTAGCGGAAGCCGTTCATATCTGCGGCGGGTTATTAGTAGGTGTTACTTAGTAGGTACACATATAAACATATAGGTAGGTATATAAATATATATGTCTTGAGTAGGAAGGTTTTGTATTCCTCGGCGTCGACGGCCTTTTTCTAAGAGGCCGGAGAGGAATGGAATAGGACATTTTATAACATACTAAAGACACATTAACTTTTTAAACGAAAATACACCATATATAGTAATATATATATAGATATATAGGCAAGTAGGGTTTAGGACCAACCATTCATAGCTCATAGAACCAATAATATCAATCGCCGCCGCGTCGAGGAGCTGGCACATAGTAGGGATGAAAACGCCAACGCGAACGGTATGTCGCGCGGAGCCATTTGCGTTAACAGCAGCCATCTTGTCTTGACTTGTCTTGTCTGTCTAGCGTTGCCTTCGCTGGAAGAAATATATGGACTTTTCAAAAAGAGTCCCTGAAGAAAATAGTGAGTACTATAGGTATTTAAGTAAGAGAGTAGATATCAAAACCAAGATTCGGGTTGAAGACCACTACCAAATCCCAACTCAAACCCGCGAGGCCCTCGGGTGCATTTATACACTTCATCCTCCCTCCCCTCTCCCTTACAAAACGGGTTTCACTCGCATATCAAAATCTAACCTCCATGCCCTCGCGGAGCAAGTCGGTAACAGACCCCACAGCTAGACCCCGAGGCAGAGCGGACAATAGCGCTGTGACACTGAGGTGCGGTCTGGAGGATAGTGTAGAGCTTCAAATAAACCGTGTAATACGATTGGTCAAGTTACGTCTCCTCCGACTCGAGTCGGAGCTAGGGCTTTGGAATATGTATGGACGGAACTCCAACGCTTATATGCTGCTTTGCTTTTATTTCTTACTCCGGTTACAATAAACGAACGCGTCGTACGCAGGAATATTAATGTGCTAATTTATAATTCCGACCTTTGAAGAGTGAGATAATATCATGCTGGCGAAGTCGGCAAACTTCGACATGTATAAACATTCAACTCAGGTCTGCCAGTCAGATCCCTTTGCCAATCGGACTTGCTTCCGAAACGTCCTACTATACAAAGCAATATCACATATCACATTCTCCATACATATTCGGCTTTAGAGCAATGCGATGTATCATTTATCGTTGTAAGTTTCAAGAGTACTACTTGACAACTATTCTCTCGTTCACCGGCGTGCTCCCAATCCACCAGCCCCGTCGGAGGACGGCACTTCTTTATGTACATGAATATTAAATATTACCGGGCTAGGTTCGCGCATTAGGTATCTTGGGTTCTCCCCGTCATAAAACCCGATTCTCGTCCTCGCTGGGCTAGCCCGCCCCCCCAATTGGACGGATGCGTCCATCGACCCCGACGAGCCGATTTTGGACTGTTGAGCCGTACTCTTCCCGGCCACTTTCTCTTGCCTCGTAAACGAATGCCGGCAGGAAGAACGTCTTTTGTTCCTGCGATTTGCTCCTAGAACTCCGTGAGCCCAGAATAAGGATCCCCGTATCTAGAATGCCAGTGCCGATGCCATGCATATCAACATCATGCCCTCTATTTACACATAGCTCCGAGGAGCTTTCTTTCAAAAATTCTGAAAAGTTCGCTCGCTTTGTCGGTCTTCAACGGGTTGATAGAGAATCGAACTGGAAGCGTGCGACAGACCCGAACTACCGCGGCAGCCGGTCTGGGCGAATATTATTAAACTCAAAATAACCAAATTCTTTACGGCATAACACTCGCGAGCACAGACTTTGCCCTTTGCCGTGTAACCTTTTTGCTGACCGTATACACCAAATCCAACGTGAAAAAGTGCATTAGTTGAGCCTGCGCTGTTGGTATCGATCCATATAGTGGCGCGACGAGCGGCGCCATGGCGTAGTCGATGAAGTTCTTCTTAATATGACGATGTGAGAAACACATTCCCTTGGATAGACCAGCCTCGTTCATTTCCCTCTCGCGCGTGGTGACACAAATCTTGTGGAACTTCTCGTATAGGAACAGCATCAGTACGACCTCCATAAGGCCTGCTGTCCTCAAGACGTTACAAACAGTGAAGAGCCAACCCAGATGGTGCGGATCCGAGTTATCAGTAACCCACATGTACAATGTCGAAGCAACAACGAGGATGGTCATCTGCAGGGGTAAGAAGTGAGCCTCAAAAAGTCGGTGGAAAAGGATGATGATCCGTTTCCAGTCAGGCTCCTTTAGCGTATCGGAAGTAACATCATGGAAAACCTGGCTCTCAAGAGTCTGCTCTGGGCTAATGTCGAGCTGACTTTGCGTGATGTATGAATCGGTAGGATTGTTTCTGTCTCAAAATTAGTTCATGGTTTTCAGATATATGAGTGTCAAATCTTACAGGGCGACATGGAGAGGGCGGAAAGCTCTGGCAGTATGATTGCGTTCTTGCCAGAGCTCCACAAACTTCCGAAGAGCGAAACCAGAATCCAAAGCTCCCCACATGTGTCGTAAAGCTTGCTTATAACGGGCCTGCATGTCGTTGTATACCTCTTGAACTCCCTTGCCGCCGTTGCCCTTGACGTTGCTCTGACTAACAGGACTCATGATGGCCCTCCCGGTCAAGTTTCCGTTGAGCGCGAAGAAACACTTCAGGTACATGTGCAAATCCTCGCCAATAGCTTCGGAATCACCGTCCCAACCGCCAACTCGGTCGACCAACATAAGCGGCACGGAATAAACAGAGGTAGGAGGGGAAATAGTTGAGCCACGGTAGAGACCAGAGAGACCAGCGGCAGCCCATAGAACATCTGCCACACGGACAATAGCAGGGACAGCATGAGCATTACGATCGAAGATGATAGGAGCAGAATACAGAGTAGTACTCGCAGTTTCAGGGTAAGACACGTGCAGGTTTGTGAGCTGGGCGAAGTAGTTGGTTGACAGATGGCTATCGGCTGTATTTTGACTAGGTTAGCACATTTATACAATCAACAATTCTAGAGTTGAATCACCCTCTGGGTGAATTATGGGACATTATGCATACCATCAATTCCAGTCACAATTACGTTCTTCCTCATAGTTGAGGTATACCTCTCACTGAGTTTGCGTGCGGCCCATGCGATGTTGCTACCCTTTCCAGGAGACTCGCCAGGGATATCAGAAGGGTGGAGAGTAAAGTCGATTGAACGAAACTTCTTGACGAATTCTTGAATGAGACCCATAGCCTTCACCTCGACGTTGTGTTCACGTTGTTCCATAGCGAGGTAGACCTAAGAACGAAGCTGGTTAGCGCTGAATATATATTTAAATTGGCGCAATTATGCTAGAAGAGCGTGATTGTTGCTCTGGAAAATGAGCAAGCCCAAATTGCATTCGCTATACTGTTTCATTGGGGAAAAAACCAACTTACATCATAGTCGGATCGAGCTTGGGGATGCGAAGCCAAAACATCAAGCGTCTCTCTCAAGCTGTCAACCTCCTCCTTGTAGTTGGGAATAACAATTGCATGAACAATTTGGTCGTGAACAGTGTCCCCGTCGGTGTAGAACTCGTTTTCGATGTCGCCAGCTTCGCTGCTGGTAGCAGAAGAAGGGAGCGAATCTTCCTTGGAGGACGTCAATGTCTCGGAACTGGAGAGAGAGGTAGACGAGCCGCGACGGCGGTGGGTCAGCTTGAAGTCCCTGAGCGATGTGCTCCGCGCAACCTTGGTCAAGTTCCGAGTCACCTCGAATAGAGCCCAGCATGATCGCATCGGGAAGGCGAAGACCAGTATATGGATTAGGAGGCAGTAGTAGGCGAAGACGAGGGTCCAGATGCCACCTCCCTCCGAAGAGGTGGCCGAATGCGACGGTTTGCTTAATGAATCCTGAGGGATATACTTGTAGTCATATCGCGTTGCGGCTGCTTCCTTGGAGATAACCCAATAGCTGAGGGTTATGGTCATTAGCATGGCCAGCCCTCCGACTCTTTTCGAACACCAGCTGAAGAGCGACATGGCTGGTGACGACGTGTTGCGATTGACTCCTCGTATATTATTCGGCCAAGACGATAGATGCTCTCGACTCTTGAGGTATTAGGTTAAGGAGCGTGGGTGAGTCGCCAAGGAGTGAGGAAAAGGGAAGAAGAAAATGGAGTTACAATGGTAAGTTGGGAAAAGATAACACAAGGAAGGACGTTGAATGGGAAGGGGGTAGGAGAGGGAGAGGGGGGGCTGGGGCCACTTCTGAAGAAGGTCGCGATATTGGTGCACTAGCTGCACGACAACCTGGGTTGACCTCTCTTGGGTTGCAATACTAGGGGTGAAAAAAGAGGAATGGGAAAGGAGGGAAAAATAAAAAACTAGTTAATTGGCAAAGCAGGGCAAGAAAATGGGAGGGAAGCTGGAAAATTACTAGGTTGAACCTCACGAAAGTAATAACAATTAGGGAAAAGGGGAGCCTTGTTTAGTACGACAGAGAAATTAGATGGGTAGGGATTCTGCGCCCCCCAAAAGTGGATTTGTAGCTCTGACGACGGGAAGGGTTCTAATTCCCAAATATGTACATACTTCAAGCATGGGCCTGGCCGGTCCAGCTGCTAACAGGCTAGCCGGTCTAGCGTTGCAGGTAGTGACGGTTATGATTATGGGCAGGGTTTAGTGTATGTATTGTACACTACCTACCCAACGTACGTAGTATGCCTTAGGTACATAAGTTTATGGGGGCTTGTGGCCAGATGTACAATACGTGTACCTGTTCTGTAGTGTACAGTCAGGTACCGCCTGCAAGGCTATTATTGAAAGTTAGCGCAACCTCTCTTTATGCAATTGAATGAACGATAATTGTAAGACGACTTAGGCCCCTTGTTTGAATTGGGAGCGTCCTGAATTACGTAAATTATACAATTGGCTAGAGAAAGAGATCTATCTAACAAAAGGATGCGAGGATAAGAGGATAAGGCGTATCGAGTATATGTCTATGTAGTACAGCGTTTAGGTACATAATGATGGATCCCATCTACACGTATTGTACAATACAGCTGTAGTAAGTTTGTAGATAACTAGGTAGGTACCTACTAACTAGTGAAAATAAGTATATTATGTGTATGTGTATTATGTGTATGTGCGTGTGTATGTGCGTATATGTGTTTTCTCTATTTTGTTTCCTCAAAAGGTACTGTCGGAGTCAAAACTGTGCCTCTTTGATGGAGTAGTATTTTTTTTTTTTTGCTTGAACAATACTCAGAGCGGGAATAATAAAAGACATTGTACTACCCTGTCGAAGTTCGACCCGTCTTTCGTCATAGCCAAGATAGGTACAAAGCGTTCCTGACGGATTGGAAACTTAATTCCCCATGGGAAAGAAAAAGAAAAAAGAGGTATATTTCTGCAAGTTGAGCTACCAACGCTACTCGATTCAGACATGTACTAGACGTAAGCTACC